GCAGGGGGTTGAACTAGAAGACCTTCAAGGTCCCTTCCAACTCTGTTATTCTATTCTATTCTAAAAGTAAAGTTAGTTTTGCATTTAATTGTTTCAGGAAGAACAATTGTTTCAGAAAGGAAATCTGCACTGTTTCCCCCCCCCCCCCTTCTTTTTGCCTCCTGCATATTTTAGCAGGGAAGTATAGGATGTTGCTCCAGAACCTAGATCCATAGGGGGTCTTGACTCTGGTTTACATAATGCAATATCCATTTACGGAAAACATATTTTTTCATTGCCGTTATAGCAATAGCAATAACACTTAGACTTATATACCGCTTTACAGTGCTTTGCAGCCCTCTCTAAGCAGTTTACAGATTTAGCATTTTGCCCCCAACAATTTGGGCTCTCATTTTACCCACCTCGGAAGGCTGAGTCAACCTGGAGCCTGGTGACATTCAAACTGCCAAATTGCAGTCAGTCAGCAGAAGTAACCCGTAGTACTGCACTCTAACCACTGCGCCACCGAGGCTCAGAGTGACTTACTGATGACACAATAGCAGTTAACGCAATCCCTCCCTCCCTTTCTTCCTCCCCTAGGTTTGTTTGCAGCAGAAGTGGGCACGTTTTAGAAATTGACTACAAGAATGTCACTGTCAAAAATGTCCGTCGCCTTTTGCCCTTGGAGACGGGACCCGTTCCTCAGCGAGAGAAGCACGCTTTTAATTCAGGTGTGAGCTCATACTTCTGGGAATTTTTTGGGGGGTGGATTTAGAGGAGCCCAGAAAAACTTTTAAAAATATCTCTGGATGATAAACAGAGCCTGGGGGCATTTAAAAAAAAACACCTAAACTTACACTCAAGGCTGACACTTCACTTTGCAGGATATTAGCTAAGAGAGGTAGTCCTCGACTTACAGCCACATTGGGGCCCAGAATTCCTGTTGCTATGTGAGACAGTTTGTTAAGTGAGCTTTGCTCCATTTTGCCACCTTTCTTGCCACCGTTGTTAAGAGAATTGCTGCAGTTGGAAAGTTAGCAACATGGTTATTACGTAAATCTGGCTTCCCCATTCCCCTTGGCTTGTCAGCAAGTCGCAAAAGGGGATCACGTGACCCCAGGACACTGCAACCGTCATAAATGCGAGCCAGTTGCCAAGAGCCTGAATTTTGACCAAGTGACCATGTGGATGCTGCAAAAGTCATAGGTGTGAAAAACAGTCATGTTACGTTTTTCACTGCTGTCACAACTTCGAATGGACACTAAACTAATGGCCGTAAATCAAGGATTATCTGTATTTTTCAGAACAGAATAGGAATAGAATTGAATTGAATTAAATAAGAATAAGAGAATAAGAATAGAGAATAGAATAAGAATAAAAATAAGAATAAGAATAGAGAATAGAATAGAATAAGAATAAGAGAATAAGAATAGAGAATAGAATAATAGAATAATAGAATAAGAATATAGAATAGAATAAGAATAAGGGAATAAGAATAGAGAATAGAGATTAGAATAGAATAAGAATAAGAGAATAAAAATAGAGAATAGAATAATAGAATAAGAATAGAGATTAGAATAGAATAAGAATAATAGAATAAGAATAGAGAATAGAATAAAAATAAGAGAATAAGAATAAGAGAATAAGAACAGAGAATAGAAAATAGAATAGAATAAGAGAATAAGAATAGAGAATAGAGATTAGAATAGAATAAGAATAAGAGAATAAAAATAGAGAATAGAATAATAGAATAAGAATAGAGATTAGAATAGAATAAGAATAATAGAATAAGAATAGAGAATAGAATAAAAATAAGAGAATAAGAATAAGAGA